GTAGCATCCCTTGCAAAGGAACGTACGCACTTCAAGATCAACAAAACGTTACTAGGCTTGTAGGTCCAGAAAACCACTAGTGTACCTTTATCACATGCAGAAACTGTTTCTAGCCATCATGAAACATAGGTGCATATTTTTGCCAGCAGTGAATAACTAAAAACATATACAGTGAGCCACTGTCAATACCCATTCGTCACCACTCGCCCCTTTCCGTAACCTCCAAGAGTCGCCATTCGGCTTGTCCCGGATTAACACGAGTTGGTCACGAATGTGTCAGTACCATGAAGGTCTGGGGCGTTCGCAAGAGGGTAATGCAAACATAGGTAAAATCAACCAGTATTCTTTGGCTAAGGAGGGGCGGTGGGTGATATTGTTGGAACTTGGAATATTGCTAAAAGCGGTGTAAAACTAAACTCACTCACTCACCTAGGGCCATATACTTGTCAACGTATGTGCAATTTCGTATTCAACCGTACAGCTGGTAACCTTTCCACTATCAGTTACGTTTTTAACCTTTAAGCATTTAAGAAATATAACTTACCATTACAAGACAATATCAGCATATATGCTGTAGAATTAAAGGTTATAATCCTGTCGTATTTTTATCATATTTCGAAGTTTGGTCCAACAGTGACTCTCGACATTCATTTAGCTTGCGGGCATTACAACTATATACGGGAGGCGAGACATCCGGATTATCGGAGTCCGGACTAACGGGGCTTCACTGTAATGCCACAACACAACCGTACAGCGTAGGGTATACGTCATAACATATATGTTTCGTAGACGTTGTTGTATTGGGTTTTTTCTTTCTTGACGTATGTAATGATGAAACATGTTTCCTGGCTGCAGGTAATAATCGCTGGCCACATTCCTCCGGGGGATTTCTGGGTACACGGCCATTACGGTGATATACTCACAGAGATCACCAACAAGTACGCTGACGTCATCGTCATGAACGTCTTCAGCCATACTCATCACGACGAGTTTGAACTGGTAAGGTATATACCTCATCGTCTTCCATTTACACATACGCAACGTCGTTGTGTTTATTATTCTAAGATGCCTAGCGGTTAGAACAATCGAAAAAAAAATACATTATCAGACAATAAAGGTATAGTTTTTTGATGACGTAACAATTGAATGACGTTATCTCGTCACTGCGCCATTCTAGTGTGCCCCCTCGTAATCGAACCATTTTACATTACGTCACAATGTAAGTGACGTCACGATGCATGTCAGTTGTCATCGCCTCGTACGGCCTCCTACAGTAAACTACACCGTTGCATCCAGTTTCTTGGTTTGCTGTTGCTTCACGCAGCTAACATCACTGGTGGAAACATTACGTTTATGGTTTACGACGGTTATAATGTGTCATTTCGACTCACAAGTTTTCAGCGACACGGTAACGTTCGTAATGTTTACATTCCCACAATGCAATTGTGGAATGTCGCTTGACTACTCAACTTCCTCTGGATGTACTGATCTAAACTTACGCTGGTAGTAGAAATGCAACGTTCATATTGCCCCACATTGTTTACGTTAATGACAGATGTAATTAAATTAATTCAGAGAAGATATTTAATCCGAACGTAAACCGTCATCAAACTGTTATCATTTGTTTATTCCTGGTAACATTCGTATTAACGTAGGGGGCAGACACATCAATAGAACAGCGCGCCAGTTAGCCCTGTGCGAGGATTCTTAATTTAGGTCACCGACACCGTCGTTTGTTGTCTGCCTTAAATTAATCGTAATTATCTTTAGAAAGTATTACATTTGGCATCTTAGAAAAGAAATACACTTCGCCCTACCACCATGTATAGTGTAATAAAACACACTTTCGGCCTGAACTATTATAACGTTAAAGCACTCGGACACAAGCGTCCTCGTGCTTTAACTATAATAGTTCAGGGCAAAAGTGTGTTTTATTACACTATACATGGTGGTAGAGCGAAGTGTATTTCTTAATTCTTCATGGCCATCTAGAAAGCTTGATGTTAGAGATGTCTGTAAACTGACCAGACAATCAGGTGATGGATCGATAGTTCACTGGCACAATAGCGCATTTACTGGTCTAATATATAAAAAGTAAGAGATTTTGCTGAATATAAATACAGACAAACGTTCAAGAAAAAGGATTAACTTTCGAAATGTTCATTTGTTTCCAATGAATGATAAAAATCGGTAAGCTTTATACTTTTTTACATCTTTAGTTTTCAACTGCGAACATGTACACCTGTTGTGAGAAACCGATCGTAAGTTCCTAAGAAACATATTATATTTAGAGAATTGAGCAATATGGCTGTAAGTTTAAGAATGGACCATAGAAAATAAGGGATGACTCCAGGTTTTCGTGACTAAAACGCTACAATTGAAAATGCCAGACTTTTAGGGCCTTGTATAATGGACTAAACGCTACAACCGAAAATGACAGACTTTAAGGGTTTTGTACAGCTAGAGTGTTATAGTGAGGTGTTGATGTAAACGTGATCTATGTATTGACAGATAACGGACCCAAATGACCCGAGCAGGCCATCAGGGGTGGTGTTCATTGCACCTTCAGTGACCACCCAAGCGAGGACCAACCCTTCCCACAGAGTGTACCAGCTGGACAGGGAGACCTTTCACGTCATGGACTATGACCAGTATTATATCAACCTGACTAAAGCTAATGGTGGGTTGAATCTGAAACATACATTCAATACAATATCAACTTATCAATATTCAGTTTGATAGGTGGCGCAGTTTGTAATTTTGTGATTTTTAAATAGAATTTGATTGGTGGACTCCTTTATAGTTTACTGTGTATTTCACGGTCGAAAGGTTTATTATACCTTGAGCATGTACTAGTTGCATGGGTATGTGCGCTATATAAATGCCCTGTCATAATAATCCTATAATAATTTGGAAAAAAATCGGGGCGGTGGGGTAGTCTAGTGGTTAAAGCGTTGGCTCGTCACGCCGAAGACCCGGGTTCGAATCCCCACATGGGTACAATGAGTGAAGCCCATATCTGGTGTCACCCGTCGTGATATTGCTGGAATATTGCTAAAGGCGGCGTAAAACCAAACTCAGTCAGTCAGTCAGTGGAAAAAAATCGAAACGTAACATTCGGTGGCTTAGACCGAACAATATGCTGAGCAGGGTTGCTCCTCTTGGGCACACAGAGTAACCGTGAGTTCGAATCCTGTTTCGCCCCGAATTGAGTTTCTAGGTTTTCTTGCACCATAGTTGTGCTCGTTCAAAGAGATAAGCATCTAAGACCTGAACCACTCTCGACTTGATCTCCCTGAATTAAACCAGACAGGTAAATTCAAACCGCACGGTGTTGAGCATTATAACGGTCCTGGTTGTTCTAACTGAACCCGTGAAGATCCGGGTTAGAATCTTCAGTAAAACATGCTTGTCGTAAGAGGCGACTAACGGGATCGGGTGGTGAGGCTCCTGACTTGGTTGACACACGTCATCGTATCCCAGTTGCGTAGATCGATACTCATGCTGTTGATCACTCACTGGATTGTCTGGTCCATACTCTATTATTTACGGACCGCCGCCATATAGCTGGAATATTGCCGAGTGCTAACCTCACTCAATCGATCTAATCGAAGTGGTAAACGTTGATGACTCGTTGACATAACCGAAATACTGTTCATAGTTACTGATCACTCACTCACCCACTCTTGCAGCCGAGGGCGTAGCTACATTGCAGCTGTCCTACTCCGCCAGGTCCGAGTACGACATCCCCGACCTCAGCCCACAGTCCCTCCACAGTCTGGTCAACAGGTATGGAGGTTCATAACACACAGTGTTCTTATCATTCTCTTCCCACAGAGGTTACTCCAGTCATATCTTCCTACGTAACCTCTGTTCTAATACGGCCCTTTCATGGTGTGAGCGTTCAAGACTCGTGGTTGGAGGCAATCAGATTTAGTTGTGCAATCAGCGACGTTGTTTCAAAAGTGATCATTCGCAAGGCCTCGGTAATTTCCGTATGCTTCGAGAAAACTAAACTTCTTCCCCTGCGCGATGCGCAAACGTTTCTTCTAGACAGAACTCAGTCATGTTATGGCGGATCAGTGGCGTCTCCATCGCCCTCGTTGACAACGGACAAGCTAGCCATTAAACGTCTTGTGTGTAACATCAACACAAGTCCCCGGCAGATGGGGGATATTTGTGGCCCCACATTTGCTTGTGTTAGTCCATTCGTCACCACTCGCCCCTTTCCGTAACCTGCAAGAAGACTCGTCCCCCTCTCGATGCTTGTTATGTGCGAAAATACGACAAACCAATAAGAACGCGCGTAAATGACTGCGGTGCTTTGGTAAAAATAATCCTGCGTACTTAAATCGTTTATGGCATTATGTCATTGTTTAAAAAATCATGAAAAATATATATCGTCATATTGAAAGTACAAAGAACGTAGCTAACAGGATTTTGCTGCCTATTATGGTGTTTTTGATAAGAATCATGCGATTGACGGCGACAGATTCAAATACACGCACGTGCGTTTGTTGACGTAACGGCTCTCATGGGTCGAACTGAGAGTGTTTCTGACGATCTTGCGGGCTTGCTATGGAGATTGTACGTGCGCTTCCAACAATTTTAGGAAATGTAATTATAAATCGCTACGAGTTTCAAAACAATAATATTATATCTGTATGTAACTAATCAACTTTAATCTTTAACATTGGGCATATATTTCACATCTCTGGGAATATTTTAGTCTGACCTTCTTGTGGTCATTCATATATTTTTCAGCGAATTCAATTAAAAGTCCACTTGTGGTATGGCAGCAAGGTTACACGTATGTTCAGTTTGAGAAATATTATACAAGTCATTTTTTTAGTTTCTGCTTTGGGATTTAATGTAGCGGGTTTTTTTTCAAATTTTATTTGTATATTCAATAAAACAAATCCCATTTGTGATTATTAAACCCTTTTCAGAAATATAATTGGAAATATAAGGTGAATATCTGGTAATAATTACGTCAGAATATGTCTTTAACAAATCTGGGTTTTTTCTTTCTTTTAGTTGTACCAAGGAGGTTTAATTCTTTAGAATAAATAGCAAAAACAAAAACAGCAATACAATGTATGAGTATTTTTTATGGATTAAACTTCTTTTTTAATTTCTCTCACAACGTTTCGAGACCATTCCAGGTCCCTTCGTCAGTTCACCTGATGAAGGGACCTGAATGGTCTCGAAACGTTGTGAGAGAAATTAAAAAAGAAGTTTAATCCATAAAAAATATCTTGGACATCAATGTACAACTTCTAAATGCCACTGAAAGACAATGTATGAGTACTTCGGTGATATTAAGTACCATTGGAATCAAACAGGAATAGAGTTATCGTTCCTGTTTGAAGTAGTTCTGATGTTCCTACGCCAATATGAAATCCTTCCAGAGGGGCACGAGTCGCTATTCGGCTTGTCCCGGAATAACACGAGTTGGTCATGAATGGTGTTAGTCAAGTTGAATCTAAGTCGATGTAACACGTGTTCTGATTGGAGAGAAAGAAGGGAAATAATTCGTGTTGCGATCTTTTGCCGCTAGGGGATTTTACGAGAACCCGGAAATATGGCCGTATTAGAACAGAGGTTCGTAGGAAGATATTCCAAGTAACCTCTGTGGGAAGAGAATGTGTTCTTATATGAAAACAAGTTACGCACCATGAATATTTAAGGGTTTTTTTTACGATGAATTCGACACAATTTCATAAAAGCAAAATAATAATGATCCTTAGTTGTTGTTTTTTTCAGAATCTGAATACTCATCACATCTGAATCCTTATTTTATGGTTCAATATTGATCTAATGAGTCTCGCCCTTGATTAAGCTTATGCGTTTGGATTTCGTTATTTTCACAAGTTTTATTGAATGGCTTCCTTCACAACCAGTGGTAGCAAATCTAATTTAAATATTATATGAATTGGCTTGCTTTGCTTTAGCGGTGTCAGTTTTATGGAATATAATATGTCTAATTAAAGCCAAACCCAAAATGTGAACATTTGAGTTCTTTGGCTCGGTGACTTGTTTGAAATCCATCACTGGTTTGTCTGCGCCAGATTCGATCACTTACACGCTGTCACTGTGTGGCTACAATATTGTTAATATTACTGATCGTTGTGTTAACAAATTAACAAACACCATACCTAAATTATTCATCTGACATACCTGTGTTCCAGATTTGCCACAGACAGGTCGTTGTTTGACCGCTACAGGAGAAACAAGTACGTCCAGAGTGGCCAGGGAAGAGAATGCTGTTTTCTGTGTCGACATGAGGAGATTTGCCGGATGTCATCCATTGCGACCTTGACCTATTACAACTGTCTACTTCCGTTCTTATAACGTCATGCTACAGATTATAGGAAATATAAGGCATCTTCGTGGTGCGTGTACCTGTTCAGTAGGAAGCCATGTTGTATAGGTTCTTATTGTATATACCCTCCACTATCACTTTACACAAATTTTGGTGCTAGCTATAATGGACACGGAACCAGATGTTTTCCCATAGTCTTCAATATTATCGTTAAAATGTTAGGAGGATTTGCAGGGGGTTGCAAGTAAAAGAATATGAACTGTGTTTACATATATGCACTACCTAGCCTGAAAGCTGCAATACACACACAAAGTTTGGCTAGAGGACTGACACCCTGTGAAACTGGTTCTGATTTTGTATAGTTGGCACCCTTGAAGATCCGGGTTGGAATTGGTCTTCGGCAACTCATGCTTTTCGTAAGAGGCGACGAGCAAGATAGGTGGTCGAGCTCGCTAACTTAGTTAACACATGTCATCGTATCCCATTTGCGAAGGACGATGCTCATGATGTTGATCACTGGATTGTCTAGTCGAGACTTGATTTTTTTTGACTGACCACCTTTATATAGCTGGAATATTGCAGGGTGTGGCGTTAAACAACAAACAAACAAACAAATAGTATGGTTGAACTTAATGTACTGCTAGGCCACTCAACCTGTGATACTTTTATTTATTTACATGGTCAGTTGTGTTATCCGGCTGGTTTGAGTTCACACTGGATTATTACATGGCGACATATATGTGTACCTACTGGCTGTCATGTTAAGCAGTATTTCCTAACATCTATCGAATTATGTTGTTTTGTAGCCTTTGTTTTAATTTGGAAACCAGATACACACATTTAAGAAATCATTTTGATATAAACTAAGATTGGATTTGACCCAACATTACCAAGGTCTCTCAAGATGTTACATGGTGAAAACAAACGCTGCTTCTGGGCCTAGATTTTCGAAGCTCTCTTAGCGCTAAGATAGTTGTAAGTAAATGGTAATGTATGACACTTAGCTTCGAAAATCTAGACCCAGGTCCACAGCATAACTACCATACCCATATCAAATACACTGTACACCTCCAGAATACCGGATACCTACCAGCCATATTGTTAGTGTCACGTAACCCTAACCTTAATATAACCCTAACCCTAACCCTTACCCTAAACCTTACCCTAACCCATATTGTTAGTCATAACCCTAAACCTTAATATAACCCTATCCTAACCCTAAACCTTAACCCTAAACCCTAACCCTTACCCTTACCTTAACCCTAAACCTTACCCTTACCTTAACCCTAAACCTTACCCTTACCCTTACCCTAAACCCTACCCTTACCTAACCCTAAACCTTAACCTTACCCTTACCCTAACCCTTACCCTTACCATAACCCTAAATCTTACCCTTACCCTAAACCTTACCTTAACCCTAACCCTTGCCCTAACCCTTACCTTAACCCTAAACCTTACCCTAACCCTTACCATAACCCTAAACCTTACCCTTACCCTAACCTTAAACCTTACCCTTACCTAACCCTAAACCTTACCCTAAGTAAACTCGCGTGCTTTCAAACATGGCGGAAGGTATCCGGTATTCTGTAGTCTTACCCAACTACACCGCCGTATACGTTCTTAGTGAGTGAGTGAGTGAGTGGGCTTTACTTTTACGCCGTTTTTAGAAATATTCCAGCAATATCACAGCAGGGGACACCAGAAATGGGCTTCACACAGTAAACACATATGGGGAATCGTACCCAGAACGCGTAAACCACAAGGCTACCTCACCACCGCGTATACGTCTCAATGCCCACAGGTTGTCATGGAATGATTGGAATTTCCATAGTATCATGAACTGAGTGGTACAGCTTCAAGCCGCGGCACTTGCCCAAAGAGACTAAATATGTTGGTTTGGTTAGGGACACTGTACTGTTACATGTACATAAACCTTTGAAACCATATTTGTTTCATTTTATTTATGATGAAATATCTGACATACCTTTAGAAAAACGGAGGCCAATTAACAAACAAATGTATCTTTTCCCAAACATGAAATTAATTTATTAAATGACATTATTTCTATGAAACTTTCTGCGGACTGTTCATCACATGAAGTTACTTGTTGTCTCTACGCTGCTGCTCAAACCTTGGAGGAAATACATTTCCTGGATAGAGCTGTGCCTGAAAATTAACATTACAGTACAAGACAACAAAAGAAAAGGTACATCTCCAAATTGTCGATTCCCTTAAGGCCAAAATAAAAGTTTGGACTGAAAGAAAGAAAAATGGGAAAAGAAAAACAAATGCATCAAACAGAATAAACTTTTCAGAAATAATGAAAAGCACATCTACAGGCAACTTAAAACAATGGTGATGGTGAGCATGATAAACGGCCTTCCATGGATGCCAATGAAAGGTTCTGGAAACCGTGGTCTGTACCCGGCGACTGTAACCTTGAGGCACCATGGGTCCGTGATTATGACCATGCAATGCATGAGAAAATAACTAGGTCGTTTGTCTGTTACATCTCACCAGATTGCCTGAATGACACTCATTAAAAAGTCCAAATCTAATACAGCTCCAGGGCCTGATGGAATTCGTAACCGGTATTGGAAACTATTCCCCTGTGTCCAAACACCATTACTTCACTGTTTCAATACACAGGTGATGTTCCTCCGTGGTTCTGCAAAGGTCGCACAATACTTCTCCCCAAGACTTAACTGATCCCAAAAACTTCCGCCCTATCACATGTTTGAATACACAATACAAAATATTCACAGGGTGTTTGACAAACTAGTGTCATCTTACTGCTCATCCAATGACATTATTTACAGAAGGCAGAAGGGGGCAAGAAAGGGATGTTGGGGGTGCAAGGATCAACTTCTTGTACGGAAAATGATTTTGGAAGAGGCTAAAACATACCACCGCAACCTCTCCATGTGCTGGATTGACTACAAGAAAGCATACGACTCCGTCCCTCATGAATGGATTCTGAAGTCTCTTCGTTGTATTGACCTCCCTGAGCGACTACTTAAATTACTCAAGTCTTTAATGAGTTGCTGGTCGACTCAACTTGAGATGTACTCGCAAGGGCAGGTGCATACTTCGGAATCTATTCCAATCAGAAGGGGAATATTTCAGGGGGGATTCCTTTAGTCCTTTGCTTTTTTGTCTGTCTTTAAATCCTTTGAGCTTTCTGCTCAATAAAGAGGAAGCTTACCATCCAGGACCTCCTCAGCACAGATCCCTCCCACCGCTTACTCATCTCCTTTACATGGATGACATCGAGCTCTTTACCAAAGGAGATACCAATTTGAAAGAACAGGTTCTCCTTGTCGAGTCCTTTTCTAATCATATTGGCATGACATTTGGACTCGACAAATGTAATACTCTTCATTTGAAACGTGGCAAGGTAACTAAAGATGGATCGGTCAAGTTACAAGAGGGGGAGGAGTTATTGAGCATCTTGTGGAAGATCAGGCCTACACCTATCTTGGAATGCAAGTTCGAGACAAGCTCCAGAATGCCCAAATTCAAGATAAAACTTCGGGCCGAGTACAAATCTCGCTTAAAGAAAATCTGGAGCTCAGAGCTAAATGCTCGAAATAAGGCCAAAGCCACCAACTCGTTTGCTGTGCTTATCCTTTCCTATTCCTTTGGAGTAGTTGATTGGACAAAACAAGCCATTCAGAGTCTTGATCGCCTGACCAGAAGGATCATGTCTGATAACAGAGCCCACCACCCTCGTTCCTCTCTTAACCGTTTATATATGCCAATCAATTCTGGAGGTCGGGCTTTGATTAATGTGGAGGCTCTTCATGATAGAATTTTATTGTGTACTTTTGTACACATTTATTTATCGGATGATCCTCTGGTGATGCATGTGAAGACTCATGATGAAAGCAGGGAATTCCACAGCTATTTTAAGCGTGCCACGGTTGTTGGACAGAATCTGAAATTTGAGGTTGATTTTGCTGATGGCGATGTACTGCTGGACGGTACAGCATGGGAGTAAACCAGGTGAAGCCCTTCACCAAGTCTGCCCAGAGTCGGTCTTTTGTGGAGAAGCTTTCTGAGAAGCCATTGCATCGTGTGTGTATGCAGTGTGTGGACCAGAATAGCAATCCCACCGACTCCTTCGCCTGGATGAAGTCGGTTGGTCTTAAATGTGAAACTGAGGGCTTCCTTTTTGCTGCTCAGGATCAGTCACTCCCCACTTGTAATCGCCAAAATGTGATTCTTAAGGAAAATATCAATGTGAAATGTCGACTGAATTTACAGAGACTGTCCAACACCTTGTCAGTGGATGCCCTTCTTTGGCACAAACAGCATATCTTAAGAGGCATGATGGCATGGCTCGTTGCTTTTACTACCGTCTTCGCCATGCTTGTGGCTTTGACTCCGAGGTCCATCCATGTCACGACCCTGAACATGTCAAGGGCGTCATGGAAAATGATGCTTTCAAACTTCTTTGGAACAGGCCCATATACAGCCTCAGAAGAATTCATGCCAACAAACCTGATCTTGTCCTTTTTGATAAAGCCAATGGATGTATTTATATCATTGAATTTTCTGTCCCTTTTGACAGCAATGCGATTGGCAAGATTCAGGAAAAGCAAACTAAGTATGCGGACCTCGCCTTTGAAATTTCTCGCTTGCATCCCAAGTACACTGTCGTCAGGCTCCCCATTGTTCTCAGTGCCCTTGGTTTGGTACCTCCTGATCTCTCGGCGCATATCAGGAGAGTGCCCGGGTTCACCACCGGGAGCACAGCCCTTCTGACACTCTGGGTAATGCAGAAGGCTGCAGTGTTGGGGAGCCTTCATATTCTCCGGAAAGTTCTTGGTGGGTTCGACAAGGCAGTGTTTCCTGGGCTGCGTGTAGAGGGGGCCAGGGCCCTGAGCTGATGATGAGCCTTACCAGCCTGACTGTGCCAGGATCACCCGAACCCTCTCTGCTGCATACTATCTTTAATCTGCAAAACATAATAATAGTGGATATTGGTAAAGCGCCAGTGTCCACCCACTCGGAAAATGTCAATTATAGGCTTTAGTAAAAAGTAAGGCCACAAGGTGTGATGTCAGAAGCATTTTCTTCAGATGGAGATAGTGCAGAGCTTAGCAAGAGTGAGTGAGTTTAGTTTCACGCCGCTGTTAGCAACATTCCAGCAATATCACGGCGGGGGACACCAGAAATCATCATCACAATTGCAATCATATGGAGACTCAAACAAAATACTAGAAAAAATAAAATACACCCAGGAAGCTTACAGTTTGTCGAATTATTCATCTTAGTTTAGCTCAAATTGACATTGTCCGTGCACGCTGATCAGCCCGTCAGTTCTTGCGCCCTACAAATTTTAGAGATCAATATAGCCTCGGCCAAAACTATTTGCCCAAAATAAGCAACTCAGAATTTGTAATCAGAATTGTTGAGGCAAAGACCTCTCGTTATAATGAAGTATGGGTTATTGTTTTCATTACAGTAATTGGTCACCCATTGGATAGATAGACAGACAGATAGATAAATTAATTTAGTATTAAAAATGAAAAGAATCCCCAGGCTCGATAAAAAGACCATGTGGGTAATTAAAAATGGATGCCGACGATATCACTCACACTAGATATACATCTGATATAAATAAAATGGAAACAGCTTGGCTGCATTCATTTATTTCAAACTGAAGCAATTTGAAATAATGACTGTTGTTTTTGGTTAGAAGAAAAGAGCTTAACAGTCCAATCTGACTCAACATGGTACCTAGCATGCATGAATATGATCACTTTTGGCAAAGTACGCATTGACATAAACTTATCGATAATAAAAGTTCTTTAGACAATCATTCTTTTGCCTTGGCGTTTGAGTGTCCCGAACATTAGTAACCATCGTGGGTGAGTGAGTGAGTGAGTATGGGATTACGCCGGTTTTTGCAATATTCCAGCAACATGACGGCGGGGGACACCAGAAATGGGCTTCACACATTGTACCTATGTTGGGAATCGAACCCGGGTCTTCGGCGTGACGAGCGAACCCGTTAGCCACTAGGATACCCCACCGCCCAGCAGCCACCATGAAGGGTTAACGTATGGGGGTGATAAAACTAAATACATCATTATACAGTGAGGTCATGTCTGTCTCATAAATATTCTGGGGCGGTCGGGTAGCCTAGTGGTTAAAGCGTTCGCTCGTCACGCCCAAGACCCGGGTTCGGTTCC